ACCTTCAAGTAACGTATATATAAACCAGCCCCCTGTCTTGGTGGCAGAGAATCTGCATGGATCTTTGCCAATGGAAATAACCAACTCTGCAGAAGTAATAATTTGTTTCTTACTAAGCAAAGACTGAGTGACCAGACCCAGAGAAAGACAAACGTGTTTCTCGGGGTGCGCAATGCAGCGGCCCCTTTTATTTGGATTTAAGAGAGAGACACACAAAGTTTGCAACTGGTCTCTTTTCATTGGTCTGACCCAAAAAGGTGGGACATCTAGAAACAGAGGCTTGTAGGTTATAGGTGGGTTTACAAAATTTTAGGTTGGTGATTCGAATGGAAGGTCTCTGATCCTGGAAGAAATTGGTAGGGGTGGGGTGGGGGAGTCTGCATTTTGTTTTAACAGAGATAAAAAGGCTTACTATGCATTCTCGGAAAAATACCATGCCAAGGACAGAGGGTAGGGCGAGGCCTATTACCAATGGACCAAGCAGTCTGTTAGTGGTTTTAGGAGTGCTTTCCCCCAGGCCCTTTGGAAAGAATTTGGGAATAGGAAAAAGCAATCAGACATATTTGTCCTGGTCTTCACTTGCCTTGTGAACCCTTTGTCTGGACGTATATAACCTGAGCCTGTGCTCAGCGCCCACACGGGCCACTCTTCCAGCCATCAGCAGGGGACCTTGCTGCCTATGTAAGTAATAAATCCATGTCTTCTGCTGGCAGCCAGGTGCATTCTCTGGAACTGATAAACATTCCAGGCCAGCCCGCTCAGGTTGGGGGCCTCCCCAGAGCTGCTTTATAGAAGAGTTTTCAGACTTAGCAAATAAAAGTACCAGATGCTTAAATATGAATTTTAGAAGAGCATACCCCCCAAAATTTAATACAAATATAATAAACATATAAGCAGTGAATAATTATTAGTGTAAGTTTCCCAAATATTACATGGCTACACATTTTATGTCTTTGAACCCTTCCAGTTCCTATCAGTCTATGAAAATATCCCCTTAGCAACAAATCATGAATATAGCACACACGTTTCTTTCTAAGTGCATTTAGAACTCATTTCTATTTTCAGCTTATCGTGTCCTACAAATATACTCTGTGTGTTTGAGTACTGTATTCCATGTGGCTTGCTCTAAAATGAGCAATTTGACATGTCTCAGAGCAACCCAGAGGTGGACGGCACAGGAAGACAATGAGGGCACTGTCTGAGCCTTGCCACACCCAGGGTCTGCCTCTTAGAGAAGAGCTCACTGTGTTCCTGACTGGCTGGGGCGAGGACTTGTTCATTCTGACCTAATTCAGAGTTCTTGGCAGTTTACCTTGTGGTACTTACCACCGGTCTCCAGCCCTAATAGGTTTTTGTTGTTTCACCTCCTGATTCTACTTCATTGTAGGAAGATTTCCTGATCATTTCTAATAAAATAAATTTTACTTTGATTTTTTTTTCAGGGGTCATGGAACCTACTGCATTCTACCCAATCTCTTTTGAGTAAGAGCAATAAGCACTACGTAGACATTCTTGTTGTTGTCCCCGTTTTTAAGATTTTTGCCACAGGGCACGTGCACTCAACCCGAGAGACAGATAGGAACAGTGAAAGGGAAAGTGAGAAATCACCTCCCAGGGAGAATGGCCATGCCACAATCCCTTCTCCTCATTCTCCTGCTGGGATTTTGGGCATGCACACACCCACACCCAACGTGAGTTTCAAGCCACCAGATCCAGGACTCAAATTGCGATCTGCCATTTGGGAGTCCAACACCTTAACCACTACACCTGCTGGCCCCTGTGGTAGAAGTTTTTCTCTACTGAAAATAGAAGTTGAATGAATATTCCATTCTGCAAAATAAATGTATACATAAAAACTAAAATCATTAAGGCCAGTAATTTGTAAACACTCAGTTCGCCCTCTTGAGTCAGAGAGAAAACTCTCAGTAGTCAGGAATGGATCCTTCTCCGAGGAGTAAACATGCACACAGTCCTGCTCTGCCCGGTGCCGGGCTCCAGCTATCAATACACGGAGAAGGGAGTCTCATCTCTCCCATTCACGTGCTGATTAGGGCCACACCCTCAGACCCGGGGAAAGCACAAACCACGGAGGTTGTGGTTCCGGCGTTGAGTGGAGAAAGATAGTTCATCATCTAGAACCCAGGGTTCTCATTCCCTCCCCGTAACTGGTGGTGGCTCCCAACTCACCCGACTGTCAGAACTGTCCTTCCTCAGACCTTACCAAGTGGATTACTAACGTGTACTTCAGGCAGAGGGAAAGGGGATCAAGACAATGGTCCAAAGCACAAGAGGAAATAAAAGCAAAGAAAAAGATAAATTAGTAGACTAATGTTCATGAATATTTGTAGCGGGATGGCTTCTGTGGTGCTCTCATGTGCTTCGTGTTTCAGACAAAGAATTGAGCGAAACATGCCAATAGAAAAAAGGAAAGGTAGTATATTAGTAACAGGGAAAGGGCACTCCTGAGACTTAGGAGCGGGCCTGAGCCGACAGAGGAAAGAGTAGCTCGAAGGCCCCAGCAGCTATATTCTGCGAGGTTTATAATTTTATGATCTACGTCGTGTTGGTTGATCATTGGCTGGGCGATTTTCTCATCTCATTGGCTCTATCAAATGTGGCTGGGTCCACTGATTCGTCTCATTGGCTATATTTTTTTTTCCTTTTTTCTTTTTTTTAAGAGAAATTATAGGGCACATGCACGCACCAGAGAGACAGAAAGAGATGGAGAGACAGAAAACAAGAAATCACTCCCTAGGGAACGACCACACCACAGTCCTTCTCCATCCTCCTCTTGGATCTTGGGCACACATGCACATGCTCCTGGCATGAGCTTTAAGCCGCTGAGTCCAGGACTCAAACCACAATTGACTACTTGGGCATCCAGCACCATAACCATTATGCCATCTGCTGGTCCTTCTCACTGGCTATATCAAATGGGACTTAATCAGCTAGACTCCCCCCACTAATCTCCTGCCTCCATTGCCTTGGGCTGGGAACTTCCTGACCTGATCAGTTTTCCTATCTAGCCACAAGAGCAGACGCTCTAGCCCCCTTACCCTCTTCCATTTGCTAGCTTCCTCCTGCCTCATACTGACTAAATAATGTTATATGGTTGGTAATAAAAATGTCTAGTGAAGTTTAAAAAAATAATCATTGAAATCCACCACAATATATAAATTAAGAAGGGGATCCTAAGTGTCCATCAAGGGGCGAATGGAAAAAGAAGATGTGGGGCCAGGTGATGGCACGGAGGTTAAGGCGGTTGGATCCCACATGGCCTCTGCACAGTTCAAGTTCTGGACCTGGCAGTTTGAAAGATACCTAGGGCGTGTGTGCATGCACGCCCAAAATCCAGAGGAGAGCATGAACAACAAGGTATTGTGGTGTGGCCATCCCCCCGGGGGTGATTTCTCACACCCCCCTCCTTCTTTCCCCAGTGAGCACATACACACTCTAGTAAACTTTAAAAAAAGGGAGGGGGCGGGAATCATGTCATTTGTAACAACATGGAGGAACCAGAGGGCCTTCATGCACACTAAAATAAGCCAGACACAGAAAAACAAATTCTACATGATCTCATTCATATGTGAAATCTAAAAAAGTCAGAGTCATAGAAATAGAGAGTAGAAGGGTGATTCCAAATCAAGACACACATGTCTAGGAGCCAGCAGGTGGAGTGGTTGTTAAGGTGTTGGATCCCACATGGCCAACTGTGCGGTTCAAATTCTGTACCTGGCTTGAAAGTCACACCAGGTGCATGTGCTTGCATGCCCAAATCCCAGGAGGAGAATGGAGAAAAAGGTCTGAGGTGTGGCCATCCTCCCTCACTTTCCCTCTCTGCCTCTCCAGTGAGCGCATACCAAGAACATACAAAAATGAAGTTATTTTGTCTAGGGAAGTCTCTGGGTGGCTAAGAGATAGAGGGGAGCATTTTAATTCATCCTCCTTTTCTATTTTCTGGATTCTTTTCCACATAAATATATTACTTAGCTGAAACATTAACTTTAAAAAGTAACTTTGAGGGGCTGGCAGATAGTGTAGTGGTTAATGGTGCTGGACTCCCACATGGTTGACTGTGGTTTGAGTCCCAGACCTGGAAGCTTGCTTTCTCACTTTCTCTCTCTCTCATGAACACTCCTCTCTCTCTCCCTCTCTGGTCAAACTAAAATAAATAAATAAATAAATAAATAAATAAATAAATAAATAAATAAAACTAAATAAAATCATTCTTTTTTAAAAAAGAAATTTATACAGCCTTAAAAGCAGATGTTTAAAATAAGAAATGCTAAAAATTAATGCATAGCACAACCACCTCAATACATTGGGGGAAAAAATAAGCAAAATAAGGCCAATCAGTTGGCATGGTGTTTAAAGCAACTGGATCTCTCATGGCAGAGTGCACATTTCAAGTCCTCGACCTTCCAGCTTGAAAACTGTACCTATGTGGTTTCCACCTGCTTTAACCACCATGCCACTAACTGGCCTACTTACTTTAAATATACCATTAATTTACTATAAACATTTACTTACTTTAGACTTATTGTAAACATTGACATTCCTCACTTTGTGATCAGCATATAAAAAGACTGCTTATTACCACCGATTCCACTCAACTCTATAGTGGGTGTTCTAGCTAATATGATAAGGTAAGAAAAAGAAATTGAAAAGAAAGAAGAAAAATCACAAGATATAAATAAAATTGTGTACTCAAGAAAACTAAGGTTTGGGGCCAGCAGGTGGCGTGGTGGTTAAAGCACTAGACTCACATACTCATGGCCGACCACCCAAGTTCCAGACCTGGTGGCTTGCATTCTCACTTTCTCTCTCTCTCTCTCTCTCTCTCTCTATCTCTATCTCTCTCTCTATCTCTTTCTTTCTCACATTCTCTCTCATCTCTCTCTGGTGAGCACATATGCCTTACGGCAAATTTAAAAAATAATGATGGTTATAAATAAAATTAAATAAATAATTTTTTAGGAAAAAAAATAAACCCAAGGCCAGTGCTCACTTCAGCAACACATGTAATACAACTGAAACAATATAGCGAAGATTAGCATGGCCCCTACGCAAGGATGCGTGCAAACTTGGGAAACAGTCCACAGTTTATACCGAATGTCGGCACTCCGTGACAGAAACTGAAAGACTGGAAGGCATAAAGGCATGGAGAGCAACTCCCTGCCCACAGACGGTGTGGGAGGGAGCTGGGCAAAGGAGGGGGCCACAGGAGAAAGGGGATCAAGGAGAACAAGTTAAAGCAAAAGATTTAACAGATACAAAAATGAAGGGTTGTCTACTGATGATTATATGTATGGGAATATCTTTAATGTAAATGTAATGCAAATGTAATAAAAAGAGAGAGAGAAAACCCAAAGCCAGCTCCATACTTCTTCCCATAAAAGTACATGAAATAGGGAACAGGTTAGCGTAATGGCTATGTCGTTGGACTCCCACGTAGTCGACCGTGGTTTGCATCCCAGACCTGGTGGCTTAAAACTCACGCTGGGCGCGTGTGCGTGCGTGCCCAAGATCCTGAGAGGGGAATGGAGGAGAAGGGATTGCAGCGTGGCCAGTTCGCGTCCTTGACCTGGCAGCTTGCTTTCTCACTTTCCCCCCTCCCCTGCTCACTCGGTCCCTGTCTGGTCAAATTGAAAATAAATAAAAAAATAGGGACCAACAGTTGGCGTAATGGCTATGTCATTGGACTCTCGTGTAGTCGACTATGGTTCAAGTCCTGGACTCAGTGACTTAAACTCACACAGGGCACGTGTGCATGCGTGCCCAAGATTCAAGGGGAGAATGGAGGGGAAGGGATTGTGGCGTGGCCATCCCCCTGGGAGGTGATTTCTCGCTTTCTGTCTCTCTAGCTCTCTCTGTCTTTCTGGCGAGTGCACGTGCCCTATAGCAAAAACCTCTCAAAAAAAAAAGTATATGAAATAAATTTCCTTAAATTAGAACCCATGTTTATTGTATTTCAAAGCATAGCGGTATTCAAAAAGCTCGTGGAAAATGCATATTATGAAAATAAAAGCTATACATGGATTACAAAATATTTAGCACCAAAATAAAATTATTTTATTTTTAAGAAATTATTTTTATTCAATTAATTGTTTGTTTATTTATTTACTGTGATTTTCAAGCTGCCAGGTCCAGGACTCAAACTGCAGTTGGACATGTGGGAATCCAGTACCTTAACCACCTTGCCACCTGCTGGCCCCAAACTTGTACTTTAATTTTATTTTTCATGAACTTTTTGAAATCCCCTTATATTCATAGAAATATTTTTGAATTGAAAAAGAAACTTTGCTTCTGAAATATTTTAAATCTGACTTAAATACTTATGAATTTATGATTACAAATATTGTCTGGTCTGTTTTTCCAATATTTCTGAATGACTACATAACAAACAGCCACATGTGTGCTTTTATGGGAAGAAACTGTGAACTTTACTCAAAACTGTACTGAGAAACAGACTTGAGTGCCTTTTTAAAGGTTTGATTTTTATTACTGAATTGTACAACTGTCAAGGAATTTCAATAGAGTGATATTTATACTTCCAATGTTTCTCTCTTGGAATCCATTCTCCTTTGCCTCCCTAGAGAAAGGAGTTCACATAAGAATGTTCATATCCAGTCCCCATTTGTATAAAACCAAAGGCCTGGGTAAACAGAATAATTCTCCTGTAAACTGTGAGAGTCTTCACCATCATCAGACAGTAAATGTAATTTCTCAAAGATCAGCATTTAAGTCTTAAATTCTTATTAACGACATATGGGTCTTTTAACGCACCAGATATTTTATTCTATTTCATACAGTTTAGGACATTAAAATTCCACTACTTGTTATTGTAATAAAATAAATACCATTAGGACATTAAAATTCCACTACTTGTTATTGCATTAAAATAAATACCGCTTCATTCCATTTCTGAATTCTGTCCTTGTTTTCTTAAATAAGACTGAACACTGCACTTAGAAAATAGACACACTTGAAAATATATTTGACTGTATTTATTGCACCTTTTAGTTTCAAGGTGAAATTTCAGATTTTAAAATTGTAGTTGCTTGAGATGATTACCAGAATGAGGTGTAATGATATCTTGCATTTATGATTATTGATGCACCTTTTTATAGAGTCATTTTTATGTTGAACTACTTATTTTATATGCATTGATGAGCATAATTGCAATTAGTTATCTAGTTTGGTAAATGAGTATCTGGGATAATTTATGGGTGCTTCTAATTTTTAGTTCAGACTTGACATTTTAATATTGACTTGAGCATTTAACATATCTTGCTGGGTACATTTGATCACTCACATTTGCAATGAAGAATGTAGCTACAGATATTTATAACATAAAGGTAAGACTTGAATTTATTCACTCAATTTTTATTTTCTTCAAAGGAGAGTGAGCTTCTACTACCTAAAGAGGACTCTCCCGTTTGGAAAGAATTCCTAAAAGTATTGGTTTTCCTCAAGTAAAATGTATTAAAGTTACAAATTAGAAATATAATTTCTTTTAAAACTTAAAACCCAATGTAGGAGCCAGCAGGTGGTGTGGTGGTTCAGGTGCTAGACTCCCACATGGCCTACTACAGTTCAAATCCCAGACCTGGCTGCTTAAAGATCACACCAGGCATGTACATGTGTGTGCCCAAACCGCAAGTGGAGAGTGGAAAATAAGGATTGTGGCATGGTCAGCCCCCCAGGGCGTATTTTCTCACTTTCCCTCTCTTTCTAGCAAGTGTACACACCCTATGGTGAAAGCGCTTTAAAAAAAAGAAGAAGGAAATCTAATCTACAAATCTTGCTATTTTATTTGTAAATATAACACATTTTATATTAGAAAATCACTTTTATTTGTCTGTATATTAATATTTCAATGAATTCTTACCTGACCAAACCATCTTTAAACAGTCAACATAACAGAAAAGTTGTTAAATTCCCTTAGATAGTTAAACTCTAATTACAAATTTAATATAGCTGATTCTCTCTCTCCCAACACCCAAGAAAATGTCATAGCTTGGGTTCATTAGCAGCACACCTTGAGACAAGTAGTAGTATAAAAGTTAATTATTGGAGGAAAAAATTGAGGAATGGAGAACTGGGGGTGGACAGAGGAGGCGGCCAGGTAAGGGTGCACATGTGCAAAGTCCCGTGTAAGGGTAACTTTGACTCAGTCCCACAGAGGGACTGTGGAGACAATGCAGGTCAAGCTGCAGAACAGTCCTAAGGAGTGGCAGGGGGGGTGGGGAAAGAAAGCCCCCCACCCC